TCTGAGATTCACATCATAAAATATCTAGTGTTTTCCTGCGATCCTAGTGACAGTTGTTAGGAAGAAGATTTTACTTTAGAAATTACACAAAAATGTATAAAAACAAACCAAATAAGACATATTTAATTACACAAGTGAATAAATGATAATACATGCCACACACAGGTCTTTCAGACAGAGTGATTAGGGCTGCCATGTCAACTAAACTTCTAGGCCAGAAGTCTGATAGGGACCCAGGCATGCCCATTTTTTTTTTTTTTTTTGAGAAGAGAACATCACAATGCAATACGTACTTAATGAGGAATAAGAAGCAAAGTGTGTGATAATTAATTAAACAGAATGCGACTTCCTGTCCTCTGTTCTGCTTTGTGCTCCCAGAGTGGACACTGCCAAGCTGACTGACACATTCTTCCTGGTCATGAGCTTCGTGGTCAGCTGTTTGTACATAAAATAGATACCGTGTGAGTACATAGTCAGTGTTCTTGTCTCGTGTGTTGCTTTCAAAGATTTTCGCTATACAGATAAGATCACTATTATCATCTAGGAAAGGCTGTGGCCAAATGTTAATATGGCATATTCATAAAATACCATGTTTAATACAGCTTAAAAAAAAACACCTAAGAATATTCTATTGAAAGAGATAATCAGTGTGACAGAAGATCCAGGGTAGCTCTGAAGTATAGTCAGGGGTCTTGCCCTTAAATTTTTTTGATACATTAATACCTAAATATTAGTAGTAATCAGTGTTCCAGTGAACACCTAAAAATTAATGGAGAATTGGAGGGCTGATGTGTATCTGTGATGACCACTAGAGGCGTGGTGGCGTATGAGCCGTGGATCATGATTACAGGTCTAGGAGTCTGAGATTCACATCATAAACTATCTAGTGTGTACCTATGATTCTAGTGACAGAGTTAGGAAGAGTTTAACAACAGAGTAAAATGTATAAAAACAAATTCAGTGTGACATTTTCCAAATGAACAAATAACTCCACAGCAAAATAATAAAAATACCTGACAGATACAGTAGGTCACTCAGAGAGCAACTGAGGATGCGTTGCAACTAAAATTATAGGCTGAGGTTCTTGGGAGGGTCTGAGTCCTGTCCAATTCTCCTTCCTCAGAAAAAAACCACCAGAATGAAATGCATATTTAGATGATGAATTAGAAGAGAGGTGTGATGCGAACAGGGATAGTCATGGTCAGCAAACGGAATGTCAGTCTTTCTGTATTCTCTGCATTGCACTCCCAGGATGGACACCGCCAAGCTCATTTCACATCCTTCCTGGTCATGAGCTTCGTGATCTGCTCTTGTGCACAGGACAGACACTGTGTGAGTACAGTCAGTGTATTTTGTTGCTGTGGGTTGTCTTTGCAAGATGTTCACTGTACTGATAAGAGTATGATTTATCTTTATCAAACAGTATACATACCCAAATGGTTATTCCAGCATGTGCAATAATCACCACGTTTTTCAAAATTAATATTCTATTGCAAGAGATAATCAGTGTGATAAAAGATCCTTGAGAACTCTCAAATGTACTCATGGGTCTTGCCCTTAAATTTTTGTGATACATTAATGTCTAAATATTGATAGCGATCAGTTTTTCCAGAAACATGTATAAAGTACTGGAGATGAAGAGGACTGATGTGTATCTGTGATGACCACTAGAGGCGTGGTGGCGTATGAGCCGTGGATCATGATTACAGGTCTAGGAGTCTGAGATTCACATCATAACATATCTAGAGTTTAACTGTGTTCCTAGTGACAGATGTTAGGAAGAGATTACTTTAGCAATTAGACAAAAATGCATAAAAAAGCTAAATAAGACATTTGCTAATTGAACAAATGAATAAATAATAATTATACATGCTACACACAGGTCTTTCAGACAGTGCAACTAAGGATGCCATGTCAACTAGAATTCTAGGCCAAAGGTCTTGGTAGGGTCCCAGGCATGGCTAATGTTCCCTTGAGAAGAAAACATCACAATGCAGTACGTACTCAATGAGGAATAGGCAGCAAAGTGCATGATAATTAATTAGACAGAATGTGACTTCCTGTTCTCTGTTCTGCTTTGTATTCCAGAGTGGACACCGCCAAGCTGACTGACACATTCTTCCTGGTCATGAGCTTCGTGGTCCACTGTTTGTGCATAGAATAGACCCCGTGTGAGTACACAGTCAGTGTTCTCATCTTGGTGTGTGTTGCTTTTAGAGGATATTTGCTATATTGATAAGATCACTATTATCATCTTTGAAGACCAGCCATGGTCAAATGATGTAATGGCACATGTACGAAAAACACAATTTTGCAAAATTAAGATTGTTTAACCAAAGCTATACTCAGGTTGGCAAAAGACCCAGTAGATCTCTGAAGTGTTCTCATGTATCTTGTTTTAAAATTTTTGTTTACATATATTTTTTTAGTATTACTAGTGGGTAATTGCTCAGTAAACATGTAAGAATTGATGGAGAATTGGAGGGCTGATGTGTATCTGTGATGACCACTAGAGGCGTGGTGGCGTATGAGCCGTGGATCATGATTACAGTCTAGGAGTCTGAGATTCACATCATAAACTGTGTAGTATGTGCATGTGATCCTAGTGACAGATGTTAGGAAGTATTTATCATACCTATTAGATAAAAAAAAGTGTATAAACAAACTGGATAAGACATTTGTCAATTAAACAAAGAAACAACAACAACAACAACAATAATAATATATGCCACACCCAGTAGGTCATTCAGATCCAATGGGATGCATTGTCCACTAAAATTCCAGACCAGTGGTCTTGGTAATGTCCCAGTTCTGCCCAGTGCTTTTCTTAAGAATAAAACTTCACAATGCAGTACGTACTCAATGAGGAATAAGCAGCAAAGTGCATGATAATTAATTAGACAGAATGTGACTCTTCCTGTTCTCTGTTCTGCTTTGTATTTCCAGAGTGGACACCGCCAAGCTGACTGACACATTCTTCCTGGTCATGAGTTTCATCATCTGCTGTTTGTGCATAGGATAGACCCTGTGTGAGTACACAGTCAGTGTTCTCATCTTGGTGTGTGTTGCTTTTAGAGGATCTTTGCTATACTGGGAAGATCACTTTTATCATCTAGGAAGAGCAACTGTGGGCAAATGATGTAATGGCATGTGCAGGAAAAACACAATTTTGCAGGTCCAACAATTTGTAATGAAAACTTCATTCAGAGTGGAGTTCCAAAGTGATCTCCGGCATCTTGTTTTTAGATTTTTGTGGCACATAACTTTCTCAGTATTACCAGTAATCAACTCTTCAGTAAACATGCAGAAATTAATGGGGACGAATAGGACTGATATTGGATCTGTGATGACCAAAAGGTGTGGTGGTGTATGAGCCGTGGATCATGACTACATGTCTGGGAGTCTGAGGTCCACATCAAAAATTTTTAGCCATACTTGTCATCAAGCTGAGGGATATCGGGAAAGCTTCATTCCTAGAATTATATGTACCTGTAAATAAAAGCAAATTTTGTGAGGTATTTCCCAATTGAACAAATAGTTCCACATCGAGAATAATAAACATTTATGGCGTACACAGTAGGTCATTTAGAGAATGAGGATCTGTATAAATGAAAATTATGGGTCACATTTTTGATAGTGTCTGAACCACATCCAATAGTTATTTGCTCAAGAGGTAAACCTCATGCTATAATAAACAGAATAAGAAAAGAGTCATAGTACAAACATAGTCCCTGCTAGTGAACAGGATCTCAAACTCTACAATCTCTCAGCTTTGAACTCCCAGAATGGATATATTCAAGCTGATTTACACATTCTTCTTTGAACAGGAGCTCTGTGATCCACTCTGTGTGTGGGGGACAGACACTGTGTAAGTACATAGTCTTGGCTTGGAATGTTTTTTGCAAGATGTTCACTGTATTGATAAGAGCATTACTTATCATAAGAATAACCATGGTCAAATACAAAAATGTATTAACACTATGTTTCATGAAAGAGAAGCTCAGTGTAGCAAAGATTGTATAGAGCTCTAAAGTAAACACTGTGGTCTCATTCTTACATTTTGGTGATACATTCTTGTTTGAATATTGCTGGTGATAAACTTCTCAATAAACATGTATAAATTAATGGAGAACTGGAAGGCCAATGTTGGATCTGTGATGACCACTGGAGGCGTGGTGGTATACGAGCCATGCATTATGACTACGGGTCTAAGAATCTGAGGTCCACATCATAAAATATCTAGTGTGTACCTATGATCATAGTGACAGATGTTAGAAATAGTCTGCCTTAACAGTTAGATAGAATATTAATAAAAACAAATTGGGTAAGACATTGTCCATTTTATTAAGCATATAATTTCACAGCCAGACACAGTGGGTCATTTGGACAGTATGATTAGGGGTGGGATATGAACTAACATTAAAGGCTGAAGACCTATGGAGTATGGGTCTAAATCTTGTTGTCTCAAGAAAAGCATTACAGTGCAGTGCGTACTTAGATGAAGGATAAGAAGTGTACTGCCTGATGACCTAGTTCATGATAATTAAACAGAATTCAAGCTTTCTGTCTTCTGTCTGATTTGTACTCACAGACTGGATACTGCCAAGGATGACTTGTGCATTCTTCCCTGGTCATGAGCTGTGTCACCTGCTCTTTGTGTTCATAGGATTGACACGGTGTGACCACGGTCAGCATTCCTGTGTAGGTTTGGGTTGCTACTGAAGGATGTTCCCTGTATTGACAGGAGCCACCACTTATCATCGAGGGAAAGCAATCATGGTCAAATGATTAATATAGCATATATATGAAACATCATTTTCAATACAGTCAAAAATTGAGAACATGTATTAAGTTGATCATATTAAAAATTGTATAGAGCTCTTAAGCATGCTGATAGATCTCATTCTTAGAATTTTATGTTTCATAGTTTTCTAAACATTACTAAACATCCTTCGTTCAATAAACATGAAGAATGTAAAGAAGAGGAGGAGGGCTGACCTTGGATCAGTGATGATCCCTCTTGTTGTATGAGTTATGGATCATGACTACAGGTCTGGAAGTCTGAGATCCGCATCCTATAATATGTAGTTTGATCCTAATGACAGATAATAAGACTAGTTTACTTAACAGTTAGATAAAATGTAAGTTAAAAATATCAGGTAAGGCATTTTCTAATAAAGCAATTTTTTGATTGAAAGTAATAATAATATATGCCCAACGTAGTAGATCATACAGACAGAACGATTAGGGCAGCCACATGAACTAAAATTATGGGCCAGAGTTCTTGTAGGGACCAAGCCATTTCCAATACTTTGTTTACTCAAGAAGTCATCACAACTCAATAGGGCTTAGATGAGGAGTGAGAGGAGAGATGGAGGACAAGCAAGCAGTCAGAATCAGCAACAGAATGTCCTTGCTCCTCTTTGCACTCTCCAAGCTGATTTATGCATTCTTTCCCAGTCACGAGTTCCTTTGTGTGCACAGGACAGACACCATGTGAGGACGTAGTCAGCGTTCTGGTCTTGGTGTGCAGTACTTTTAAGGGACATTCACTGTGTTGATAAGAGCACTCCTCCTCATCTAGGAAGAGGAGCCATGGCCACGTGGTTAATATGACATGTGCACAGAACATTTTGGTTAATAGTTTTGCAAAATCATGAAGGCTTTATTGAAAGTGACATTTGGTGTGGCAAAATATCCTGTAGAAAAATTGTGACGTGTACTTCAAAATCTTGTTCTTAGATTTTTGTTATTTCTAGTGGTCTAAATATTGCTAGTGATCAATATTACAATTGCTCAATAAGCACTATAAATTAGGGGAGAAGAGGAGGGCCGATATTGGATCTATGATGGCCAATAGGGGCATGGTGGCTTATGAGTTGTGGATCATGACTACAGGTCTGGGAGTCTCAGGTCCACATCATCAAATATCTAGAGTACACCTAGAAACAGATGTTCAGATTAGTTTACTTTAATAGTTAGCTAAAATATAAACAAAAATTGGATAAGGCATTTTCCAGTTAAGCAAATTATTTCTTGGGGAAGAGTCCTAATAATAGGCACCAAACACACTATAAATAATTCAGACAGCATGAAAAAGCACAGCATGTGAACTGCAATTACGAGGCAAAGTTCTTGGTTGGGTCTGGGCCATGCACACTGCCCTTCTTGAGAAGGAAATTCACAATGCCATACATACCTAGATGCAGAATTAGAAGCAAGGCATGATGCAAACGGGCATAATCACGATGATTAAGCAGAATGCCAGGACCTCTGCCATCTCTTCTCCTTTGTGCCCTCAGAGTGGACACCGCCAACATGACCTGTACATTCTTCCAGAATCATGAAATTTGCAATCCTCTGTTGGCTCCATAGGAGAGATGCCATGTGAGTACAGTCAGTGTTCTTGTCTTGGTTTGGAATGCTTTTAAGGGACATTTGCTGTATTAATAAGAATATTACTTGTCGTCTTGGAATCGTTAATATGACATATGTAGAAAATACCATGCTTAATAACAATTTTGAAAAATTAAGAATATTGTATTGAAAGAAATACTCAATGTGCCTAAGATCCTATAGTGCTCTGAACTGTACTTGTGGATCTTGGTTTTAGAATTTTATGATTCATAATTGACTAAATATTACTAGTAATCAGTTGCTCAGTAAACACATATAAATTAATGGAGAATTGGAGGGCCGATGTTGGATCGGTGATGACCACTAAGGGCGTGATGGCATATGAGCCATGGATCATGATTACAGGTCTAGGAGTCTGAGGTCCACATCATGAAATATCTAGTATATGCCTGTGATCCTAGTGACAGATATTGAGAATAGTTTGCTTTTAGAGTTAGATAATATATAAATAAAAATAAATTGGATAATGCATTTTCCAATTAAGCAAATAGTTCCTCAGTGAGGATACTAATAACACATTACCCAAGACGGTAGGCCGTTCAGACAGAATGACTAAGGATGATATGTGAACTAAAATGAGGAGCAGAAGGTCTCAGTGGGGCTTGATGCATGTCCACTGCTTTTACCAACAAGAAATCATCACAGTGCTATATACACTTAGGTGAGTAATAAGAAGAGAGGTGTGATGCAAACAGGCATGGTCATGACCACTAAGCAGATGTCAATCTTTCTGTATTCTCTTCCGCATTGCATCCCCAGGACGGAGGCCTCTAAACTCAAATGCACGTAGTTCTCTGGTCATGAGCTTCATGGATAGACACCGTGTGAGTATATAGCATTCTTGTCTTGGATTGGGCTGTTTTTTACAAAAGGTTCACTGTATTGGTAAGAGTATTACTTATCTCTTAGGAAGAACGACCGTGGCCAAATTATTAATACGACATATGCATGAAATACCATGTTTAACGCAGTCTTGATAAATTAAGAAAATTTTATTGAAAGCAATACTTGATGTACCTCAGATCCTGTAGAGCTCTGAAGTGTTCTTATGGATCTTGTTCTTAGATTTTTGTGATAAATGAATGTCTAAATATTGCTGGTGATCAGTCGCTCAGTAAACATGTATAAACTAATAGAGAGTTGGAGGACCGATGTTGGATCTGTGATGACCACTAAGGGCGTGGTGGCATATGAGCCATGGATCATGATAAAAGTCTGGGAGTCTGAGGTCCACATCACAAATTATTTAGTGTACACCTGTGATCCTAGTGACAGATTTTAGAAATAGTTCATTTCAAAATTAGCTAAAAATAGAAATAAATGCAAATTGCATCAGACATTTGGCAACTGAGCAAATAATTCGACAAGAAGAAGAATAAAACATGCCATGCTCCGTAGATCATTCAGAGAGAAGGGCTAATGTCTTGAAATTACGGGTCAAGATTGTTGGCAGGATCCCAGTCATGGCCAATGTTTGTTTTCCCAAGAAGAAAACATCACAATGCAGTACTGACTTAGATGAGGTGTAAGAAGTATCCTGGGATACAAGTGGGCCAAGTGCTTGATACTCAACAGAATGTGACGCTCTCTGTGCTCTCCTGTTTGTGCTCCCAGAATGGATTTGCTCAAGCACATTTTCACCTTCCTCATCAGTCATGAACTTTGTGATCCCCTCTTTGTGTGTCTAGGATGTATACTGCGTGAGTACGGTCACTATTACTTTGTTGGTCGGGGTTGCCTTTAAAGGATGTTCAGCGTATTGATAGAGCACCATTGGTCATCTAGGAATATGAAGATTAATATGGAATATACATGAACTATCAGTTTTGCAAATTTAATGTTTTGTTTAAAGTGACACTCAATGTGGCCAAAGATCCTGTAGAACTCTCAAGTCTATTTAAGGGTCTTTTACTTAGAGATTTGAGCTAAAATTGTCTACATATTAGTACTAATCAGTCACTCATAAACTTGGATAAATTGATGAGGAGCGGAAGGCTGACGTTGGATCTGTGATGACTGCAAGTGGGGTGGTGGCGTATGAGCCGTGAATCATGACTACAAGTCTGGGAGTCTGAGGTCCACATCATAAATTACCCTGCTGCTGAGATGGCTCAGTGGATAAGAGCAATGGCTGCTCTTTCAGAGAACCCAGTTTCAATTTCCAGCACCCACATGGCAACTAACAACCATACACAACTCCAGTTCCAGGGAATTCCACACCCTTTCTGACCTCCACAGACATTGCACGATATGGTGCACTTACATACATGCAGGCAATACACTCCTACAGATAAAATAAAAATAATAAACAAAATTAAAAACAAATTACCTAGTGTATACCTAGATACACGATTGCTAGGAATCATTTAACAAAGTAAACACTAATATGGTCAGACATTTCACAATTTGAGCAAATAATTTTCCTGGAAAAATACTAAAAATATTTGTCACACTCTGTGGGGTTTTCAAAAAGAGTGGCAAAGAATCACATATGAATTAATATTATAGGCCAAAGTTATTGGTGCAACCCCCCCCCCCGTCCAATGCCTGTTTCTCAAGGAGAAAGCATCCAGTGCAACTACGACCTAGATGAGGAGTAAGAAGAGACGTGTGATAGAGCAGGCCGAGTGCTTCGTGACCAGAATGTGACTCTCTGTACTCTGTTCTGCTTTGTTCTCCCAGCATGCATAGCGCCACACTGAGGTACACATTCTTCTCCGGTCATGAACTTCCTGATCTTCTTTTTGTTGTTATGATGGATCCCATGTGAGTACAGTCAGTGTTCCTGTCTTGCTGTGTGTGGCTTTTAAGGATGTTCACTGTATTGATAGGAGCACTTCTTATCCTCTAGGAAAGGAGCCATGATTAATATGACATGTGCATGAAACACCATGCTTAATGCAGTTTTGCAAAGTTAGGATTATGACAAAGAATCCTGTTGAGACTGAAGTCTATTCAGGAAACTTCTTAGATTTTTGTGATACACAATTACTTGTGTAAAAATTGCTTGTGATCAGTTTCTCAGTAAACGTGCATAAATTAGTGGCAAAGCAGAGTGCCGATAATGGATCTGTGATGCCCAGTAGAGGCGTGGTGGCATGGATCATGACTACAGGGCTGGTGGCATGAGCCATGGATCATGACTACAGGTCTGGGAGTCTGAGGTCCACATCACGAAATCCCTAGTGCACGGCTATGATCATAGCGATCAATCTTAGGTCATCTTTACTTTTAGAATTAAATAGAAATATAAATAAAATAAATTGGGTAAGACATTTTACTTATTTAGCAAATAATTCTAGAGCAGGAATACTGGTAATATCTACCAGACACAGGAGGACATTCAGGGAGTATGACTGAAGATCCGTAGTAATGACAGTTATCACCAAATCTGTTGGTTGGTTCTGAGCCTGTCCAATGTTGGCTTTTTCAAGAAGAAAACATTGTCATATAATACATTCTTATATTAGAAATAAGAAGAGAGTCATAATGCTGTCTGGCATACAGCGTGATAATTAAAGAGCATGTCAAGCTTCATGTAATCTCTTCTGCTTGTCCTCCCAGGATGGATATCAGCAAGGTGTTCCATGCCTTCTTCTCCAGTCATGAGGTGTGTGATGTGTTACATAGAACAGACACCATGTGAGCACAGCCAGTGTTCTTGTCTTGGTTTGGTTTGCTCTAAGGGATGTTCATAGTGTTGCTTTTATCAACGGAGAGCAGCCATGGCCTGGTATGGCATCTGCATAGAGTATGTTGTACAATACTGTTTTGCACCATGAAAAATTGTGATGAAAGAAAAGTTTAGTGTGGCAAAGCTCTTGTACAGAACTCTCAAGTCAACTTAAAGATCTTGTTCTTAGATTTTTAAAAGTATTTTATTTATTATTTTTATTTTATGTGTATGAGTGTACTGTTTGCATGTATGTAAGGGCACTCATGTCATGCAATGCTCATGAAGGTCAGAAGAGGGCGTTATGGACAGACAGTTGCTAGCCACCATGTGGTTGCTGGGATTTGAACCTGGGTGCTCTTCAAGAGCAGTCAGTGCTCTTAACCCCTGAACCATCTCTCCAGCTCCTTGATCTTAGATTTTATGATACACAATTATACAAATGTTATCAGTGACATGAGCAGCTGCTCAATAAACATGTAGAAATGAATGGAGATATGGAGGGCCAGTGTTGGATCAGTGGTGACCACTGGTGGTTTATGAGTCATTGACGAGGACTACAAGTCAGGGAGTCTGAGGTCTACATTGGGATAATGTAATGTACATCTGTTAATGGAGGTATAAAATCTATAGTTATGGTCAAAGCAGGTCTGTGTTCCTGCTTTTGTAACTGAATCAGTGAATGAATTTTCACGATGTATACATAAATAAAGCTGGAAAGATAATTATGACAATTATTTCAAATTATGAATATAATGGTCTTTATGCATTTAAAAGCAGTGAAGCCTTTTAGTCAAGGAGGGGGGAGTTACAACGTTGGCTGAAAATGGTGAGGAGTGTAAGTGCAGTTGTTCTAACTCCTTCTAGGGGCAAAGCCACATCCAGTGTTGTTCTAAGTCCTTTTAGGGGCAAAACCACATCCAGTGTTGTTCTAAGTCCTTCTACGGGCAAAGCCACATCCAGTGTTGTTCTAAGTCCTTTTAGGGGCAAAGCCACATCCAGTGTTGTTCTAAGTCCTTTTAGGGGCAAAACCACATCCAGTGTTGTTCTAAGTCCTTTTAGGGGCAAAGCCACATCCAATGTTGTTCTAAGTCCTTCTAGGCGCAAAGCCACATCCAGTGTTGTTCTAAGTCCTTCTAGGGGCAAAGCTACATCCAATGTTGTATTTTTTCTTTTCTTTTTTGATCTTTTCCAAGCTTTATCTACATGGCACATGGTAACTAAAAGTACCAGACTGGTGGAACCAACCTTCTTGGGTGTTTAACAGACATACTTTGAGGCCTATACTAATCTGGTCAGAGGGACTTAAAGGACAGTTTTTGCTCCTTGCCCTCCAAGGTCGACTAGTTCCAGGGGACCCTGAGCATCTCTCAAAATGTCCTGTTGTAGTGAGTCACCTATCCTCGTGTTCAGGGAGGCCATGGAGACCCCATCAAATGGACTTGAACCAGTGTCCATTCTACAAAAAGGAGGGTCAACACAGAGGAAACATTTCCTCCATGCTTCCAAGAGAAACCAGCCATGGTTGAGTAGGACCTTTGACTTATCTTCACATAGATGGAACTGGTAAAAGAAAGGAGCCAGGAGCTCCTCCCAAGCCCATGTGACCCCTGAGGAACAGATTCTCAAATGACTTTAACAGTTAAAATAAATTGGTTTATCTGGGCCAACTGTATGGCCTTAAACAGCCAAAAGGAAAGTATAACCAAAGATTATACTTATAATTTTTAAGAGTCCATATGTATAGCTAAAGGCTACATAACAAGCAACAATGCCAGATAGGAGATACCTTCTTTTGAGTTGTTGGCCAGGGTGGCCCAAGGGACTCCCAGATAGTAACCCAGGATAGAACTGGGAAAATGAACAGCAGACCCCAATCTTATCTAAAGGAATATTGACAACTGATTGCTGCTAGATGAGGAACAGCTGACCTTCCTAAAACAAAGACCTTTAGATAGGCTGACTAGATTCACCAGAAGGCAAGTAGTGGGGAATGGCTGTGGTGCCAACAACACAGCAGACAGTAGCAGGGATATCAGAGTATAACGGCTCTAGTGGAGGGGGGGGCTATGGGAGGGCGCCATCTGGGAGGCGGGTGTATAGTTGAATAAAATGATTTGGGATGTTCTGTGTGATATACACACACAAAAATCAACAAATTAAAAAATGAATTATATTTGAGGAGGAAGCATAAAAACTTATGTCATATTAATTAGTAGAGATGATAAACATTACCATTGAAATCTACCTGATGACTTTATATGCATATACAGGTGCCAAGGATCCGAGTGCAACTGACCATGACACACAGCAGACAGTAGCAGGGATATCAGAGTATAACGGCTCTAGTGGGGGGGGGGCTATGGGAGGGCGCCATCTGGGAGGCGGCTTTTTTAAAGGTTAAAAACTCATTCAATTTTATGTCTTACAGTGTTTAAACTGAGTTCAATATTGTATAATGTTAATTCAAATGTGAACCTAAAAATTTTATAGCCACTTTTGAAAGAGATGTATCTTTGCTCTGGAAATTGTTATTGAATATGTTAAAGCTGTAATGAAATGTTTCTTCTAAGAAATAAAAAATAAAAAAATACCCACCTCACATACAGAATAAATAATAAATAAAAAGATATTTCATTTATTATTTTTATTTTATGTGTATGAGTATATTGCCTACATGTGTGTAAGTGCACCTGTGTCGTGCAGTGCCCCTGGAGGTCAGAAGAAGGTGTTGGATTCCCCTGGAACTGAATTACAAATGGACAGTTGTTAGCCACCATGTGGGTGCTGAGAACCGAACCCAGGTCCTCTGCAAGAGCAGCCAGTGCTCTTAACAGCTGACCCATCTCTCCAGACATTCAATGTAGTGTTTTTTCAAAGAAATAAAATATTACCACATTTTTGTTCATTCTAAAGTGACTAACGAGTTGAAATTAAAAACTCAAGAATAGCCAGGCATAGTGGTGCACACCTTTAGTCTCAGCCCTTGGGAGGCAGAGGCAGGTGAATCTCTATGAGTTCAAGGCCAGCCTGGTCTACAAAGTGAATTCTAGGCCAGCTGGGGCTACAGGGAGACCCTGTTTCAAAAAGACCTAAAATAAATAAATGAATAAATAAATAAATAAATAAATAAATAAATAAAATATTTTTAAAAACCCACCCCCCCCTTGGGAATAGTTGGGGATATTTGTCCTTTCCCAGAACCCCTTGGAATTCCGAAGGCTGAGGCAAGAGAATTGTGAATTCAGAACTAGACTGGGATAGGTCACATGTTTACATTTAGTCTGAGGTCCTATTTCAATTAAAAACCAAGAGAAACAAATGTAAGCATAAAGACAGCAAACCATTTTTAGAAGTGACTTGTTGTGGTTTATTGTCAGCACTCTAATTTAGCTCCCTCCCTGCTGCACAGATCCATGGTTGGCCCTCTGTGTTAGGAGGATTACGAACAGTGTGTATATAAATCTCTCGGCTTCATTTGGAGAGGGCATTAAAGTCTATGTCCTGTCTTGATGAGGACATATGCACAATCCAGCGATTCTAGCCCAGCCCGTTTATGATCAGTGTGGCATAGCTGTGAAGGATATATTGATTAATCAATGTTTGTAAAATAAAAATTTAGTAAGGAAAATGTGTACCCATCCTGTAAATAGTCACAAAGTACATTTATGAATTTCTCTAAGGTGTTTGTGATTCCTAGTCAATTTTCTACTTAAGGGACTAAAGGAATGAAAGGAGACCAGCGAGCCGAAGAGGACGGACTGATGGACAGTGACCTTTCTCATTTGTTCTGTCTTGTACTCTGAGAAGGAACACAGCGAGGTGGCTGAGGCATCCTGCCCTGGTCGTGAGGTCCGCGCTCACCTCCATGTTAGGCACCTAGAGAGCAACAGTGTGAGTACTCCACGGCCTTCTCTTGGCCTACTTACTTGTTAAAGGGTGTGCCCTGTCTTGATGGAACTTTACATGTAGCCTAAGGAAGTCGACGATGGCTTGATGATGAAGAGGGAGTTGCCTGGAAGTAATGGGTTGTTTAATCAGTATTGACAAGGTAAAGAGATAACACGGCCTGAGAGCCTTGTAGAGATTTAAATTGTTTGTAATGATCTTGTTCTTAGTTTTCTGTGCTTCATAGTTACCTAATAATTATTAATGGATAATTAAACATATAATTTTCCATTAAATAGTTAATTATCCATTTATATTTCATAGTCAACAAATATAAAATCAGCGTAGAAAAGGAGGAATCAGTGTTGGCTGGATGATGACCACTGGTGGTGCATAAGACATGGATCATGATGATAGCCCTGGAAGCCTGAGGTCTACCTTTATTCCTAGGGTTGGATGTTAGGAATACTCAAATTCTTCCTGGGCTTTTTGAATGTGAATTTTTATCCTGTTTTTATAATTGGATCAATGAATTATTATTCATGTAATTTGTTCCATTTTATAACCAGATTAACGACTGAATCATTCCTCAATCACAATAAGTCAATGAGCATTGTCTAATTTATGAAAATATGCATCACAGCAGGAAATGCCTTAATATTTCTGAAAAATATTTCTGAAACAATATGATGGGAGTTTATCAAGATATAAATTGATCAGAGGTGACAGGTCTTCTCAAGAAGGGCCAGTCGCGGCTACTCAGTTCTTCATGGGCTAATGAATGAACAAAGTACTCTGTCTGTGGAGGGAATAGGAATCTTTCTGTGCTCTTTTCTATTTTCTATTCTCAGGTGAGTGCGATGCACTGCTTGCCAGGTTCATGGATGTCCATATGTGTCAGGAGCATAAGGACACGTGAGTATCGTCAGAGTTCTTGCCTTGCTTTTAGTTAATTCGTTCCTCTGTCCTCACAAAGGCATTACATAGACTCCAGTGTCAAAAGCATTCCATAGACTCTCATAGTGATGACCCAATGAGAAATAGGTCATTGCCAAAAAACTATAAATTTGATAAATTAATGTTTATAAATTATGATTGATTAAAACGACACGTCAATGTGGCAAAAGCCTCCACGTACCTGTGCATTACACTTGCGGATCTGTCTCTTAAGGGTCTGTGGTTCATAAGTATGTAATTTTCATTTGTGAAATGAATATTGAAGAATAAAGAATCATAGAATTTCATGGAGAACTAGAGGCCAAGGTTGGATAAGTGATGAGCATTTGTTGTGTATGAGCCGTGGATCATGACTACAGGTCTGGAAGTCTGAGCTCCATACCTTAAGACATCTAGTGTATATGTACCGATTCTAGCAATATTAGGAATATTCAAGTATGTTCTTCATTTCTGTTTTTTATTTTTTAAATTTTCATTCTTTTTGAAAGTTGAATCAATGAAGCTCCTTACACAAATACATAAATAAAGACTAAGTGGGCATTGTTCAATAATATGAAAAGCAAGTTATACCAATCAAGAAATAATCATAGCTGGGTGTGGTGGTCCATGCCTTAGAGGCAGATGGATCTCTGTGAGATTGAGGCAAACTTGGCCTATATAGGGAGCTCCAGGCCAGCTGGGGCTATAGGGAGACCCTGTTTCAAAATCAATCAATCAAACAAACTGTAACCAAAAAATAAATAGTAGTACATATGGAAACCATGGAAATCCACTTAGAAATAAGTGGCTCAAAGGTGTTACTAGCCATGGACAACATACATAGTAAAATTAATAACCTAAGTCCCTGTTTAAGTCAGGGCTCAAACACCCAGCGTTGTTTGTTTTCTTAAGGAAAAATGCCATCCCAATTCAATTCCTACTTCAGTGGGTAATAAAATGAAAGAATGAATGGACAAAATATCAATCTTTCCTAATCCATTCTTCTTTGTATTGTCAGAATGGGTGCTTCCTGGGTGATCTAGGCATTGTCCCCTCATCACCAGGTCTGAGATTTCCCCATGTGTCAGATGCATAGAGACCAATGTGAGTATAAAGATTTTATCTTGGTTTGGGAGGATTTTAAAATAGGTTTGTGGTATTGGTAAAAACATTACCTAGAATCCCCTAATGCCAACTATTGCTGATTAGGAAATACAGCGTGGCCTTGGGCATTATACTGAATAATCTATACTTGGAAAATTGAGATTGACAAAGATATATATATATATATAGTCAATGTAATAGAAGGTCCTTTTGATGACTGCAAGCTATCCTTAAGGGTCTTCTTAACTTTTTGTGGATCATACTTACCTAAATGTTATTAGTAAAGTGATGGATTTATCAATAAACAAGAGTAGAAGTTACTGAGAAGCAGAGGCTCTGTCGTGGATCGATGATGATTGTTGGGGTTATATGAGTCGCGGATGGTGACTATAGATCAGAAACGTTCCACACCATAATGTCTCACCCTGTCTCTGTCAGAAATGGTCCTCCACACAGATGTGGGAATATTGGAAGCATTATGTCCTTGCTCTTAATGTTAAGGGATTTTTATTGCATTGCAGGTGGACTCATGGAAAGAATCAAACTTACTAAGAATATACAGTGAGAACAGAGGCTTTTAATGCATACGAGAATAATGAGTTTTTTAAAATGCATTTTTATTGATTTTTTTGTGCACTTCCTACAGAACATCTTTTAAAAAATATTTATTTTTATTTTACGTGTATGAGTGTTATGCCTGCATGTGTGTAAGTGCACCTGTGTCCTGCAATGCCTGTGGAGGACAGAAGAAGCAGTTGGGTCCCCTGAAACTGGAGTTACAGACAGTTGTTAGCTCCCATGTGGGTGCTGGGAATCAAACTGTGTCTTCTGCAAGAACAACCAGTGTTCTTAACCACTGAGCCATCTCTCCAGCCCCTATACAAAACATCTTGATCATCTATATACCACCTCCCCCATCTGTACCCCCATAGCAACCCCCACTGGGTGTCACGCATTCTGTCATATATGTCAAGGCCTATCAAGTCAAATTTGTGGTCCTCAGTACAGGTTCATTCACTGGAGTCTAGTCAACCTATCGAGAATCTCTCTTTTAAAAAAGCTTAACTCTCCCTCACCCAGCAGTGATCACCTATTCTGTCCAGCATCCACAAGATCCCAGTTCCATCTCTAGTACTTCAGAAAAAATGTTGGTCTTTGGTCAAAGTGTTCCTTCTTGTTGATGACCTATTTTTTTTTTTTTTGGTCTTTTTGAGAGAGGGTCTCCCTGTAGCCCCAGCTGGCCTGGAACTCACAGAGACATGCCTGTCTCTGCCTCCCAAGTGCTGGGACTAAAGGCGTGCACCACCACACCATGCTCTCATAATGATCTTAACACTAATGTTATAGCATATATGTGCATTTTGTCCAGAAAAATAAACACATAAATGACCAAATAAATTAAATGTGGAAGGTAATAGAGATAGGGCTGTATCTTTTGTTTGTTTTATCTTGTTTGTTTATTTGTTTATTTTCAGACAAAGTCTCCCTGCAGGCCCAGCTGTCCTTGAACTCCCTATATAGACCAGACTGGCCCCCATCTCATAGAGACGTATCTGGTAATACAGGTTTGCATTATAGTTATATTGTCATGAATTATTACCTAGCTAGATGAAGACCTCATCAAGGCTTATTCATATTTTGTTTGCATGGATCTCATAGTTTCTTAATTGCTCTCAGGGAGCTGATGAGTTAAATAGTAAAGCAAGGCTGGGGCATAAAAAGTGAAGCAACAGAGGCCTGATCGATGTGGCTGCTGCTGGTGAGTCACAGGTGCTGGAGTGTCTGGAACACTGAAGTCAACATAAAAGTAACTGTAGCTTACTGCCTGTTTCAGACCTGATTCTGCAGATAGAGTTAGAATTTTAGGTGGATCTTGTTTGAGCTGTTTGTGTTTGTTAATTTTGAGTCTTTTGCACTAAATAGATAAATAAGAACGCACAATTAGAGTACCTTGCACACTTCAAGTGGGTACAGTTTTTATCTAAAATAATTTTAAAATAGAATGAATAAATGTACAATTATAAATAAGATGAAGAGGTCACAGCATCGTCTCATTGTGAAGAAATGGTGTGAAGAAAACACTGTTAATAGTGATCATGAGTTAAGGGCTGGATATTCATAGATGGTTATTATGACTTACAGTGATAGAGAATCTATAAATAAGGGCTAGTATTCTTGTGCTGGGTTAATGAAAGTTTGATATCATTTTGCTTTTCTTAGTAGAAAATGAAATAAGATGAGTCAGATACACGTGGACGACTGTGTATCTGACACAGTGGCTCACAGACACGAGGGGTCATGGAGGAAATGCCTCCATTGGCTTTGCCCTCTGCTGTGCTGTAGAGCAAGCGAGTTTGAGGCCAGATTGGGCTATATGAGACTTCGTCTCAAAAATAATCCAAATGAATGACTTGAGATGCATGTATAAGCAAGGAAAGATGAAGAAGGAAAATATATCTGTACCTACTTTTTTTAAAAAAAAAGTATTTGAAAATTATGTATATGTGTGTCTGTGTATGGGGTACAGGTGCCCCCCATTGTGAATTGCCCACTGTGGTTGCTAGGAATGGTCTCTGCAAGAGCAGTTGGTTATCTTGTCTGTTGAACCTTCTCTCCAGCCCCTTCTGTGTCGACTCTTAATGTATGCAAGGAGACAGAAAAAAGTGTTAGTGTGTAACAAAACTACTACTGAAAAATTCTATGGAAAAATATTAAGTTTCTTTTGTTGAGTTTCTGTTATTAATAGATTCCTGTTTTATTAGTATCTGTGAACTATCAACTAACCAGTCAACAAATACAGATGAGAATAAATAATCCAGGGCCCAAGCTGGGAGAAACACGTATGTCTCCCATGCTGGGAATACAGTGTCTGGGCCTTTAAGGTCTGATAATGAGAAAATCAAATATATCTTTTCTGTTTGAAGGGATGTTAAATACAGATGTTAGGGATATAAAGAGACTGTTTCCTTCCATTGTTTTTAATGGAGTTGGATTCCATTATTATAAATGGGTAAATGTAGCTGCCCTGAACATGTAAATATAGATAAAATATGAAACCTGTAACGTGGCAAAGCAATAATGCGTTTAAATAAAGTTCTTCAAATTAGTGCATACCCAGGTAACTTGACTATGTCTTGACTTTGGTCTATTCTGCTCCGCCTGTTGTCTCTCAGGATGAACACCGGAGCTGGCTTAAGCATTTGCAAGTTCCTAGCTTCCACAGTTGCCTGTGTGGGTAGGAGTACTTTGTCCCCTATAACAAAGTTCTTTTCTTGGTTTGGATATTTTAAAAGGATGTTCCCTGTAACATTTAAAATTAGTATGAAATATAATTTTCAGTATATAATTTTATTGAATTTTGTGCATTTCATACAGTACATCTTCACATATTTAGACCCCCTCCCTATCTGCAGACCCCACAGCTCCTTCTTGAAATATAATTTTTGAAAGGCAACTATGGTCCACAGAATGAGTAAGGATTGTATGAGCATATTGATTAATTGCTGTTGACAGCTATGAGGATGATCGATGGGGATGCATATTCAATTAGGAAATGATTCCAAAGACAAACAATGGGGTTACAGAAGGATGCTGTCCTAGAGATTCTCATGACTCACAGTCATCTAATTATTATTAGTGAACCAGTGAGTCAGTCAGTAAGCAACTTCACATGAGAATGAAGATAGGTTCACACCTGGACCAGTGATGGGGACTCAGTGGCACAGGGGTCCTGGATGGTGAATACCATATGCCTGGGACTTTGCTTCCCAAGACAGACACCCTCTTGTCCTGCTACTGTCTTGTTAGTGATCATTTGGAGGAATATTAGGGATATACAAGGACCTTGTTTTATTGCATGCATGTACTTGGGGGAGATAATGTATGTCCTAGCATGCTTCTGAAGGTCAGAAGACAACCTGCAGAAGTCAGTTCTCTCTTTCCACCATGTGTGTCCTACAGATTGAACTCAGGTCTATAGGCTTGGTGGTAAGTGGCTTTGCCCACTGAGCTACCTTACTGGTCCAGGATATTCTTTTATTTTGCATCAGTATGCTGCATTTTGTTAGTGTAGATTATTTATAGATCAATAAACAACTTCTAAGTAAATATATACAAGCCTTGTCAAACTGTAAATATGTGTAATGCAACACGAAATATATACACTGATGTATTTTATGAACCGAACGGGCCAAAGGTCTTATTTCTTTCTCTAAGGATCATATAAGCATTAACACTGAGAAGAAATGTTTAATTTTTTAAGTGTAGATGATACATGTACACACAAACACATATACAGTGCTGTTTATTTTGATATGGATGGTGTATAATATGAAAAAATTAATGAATACCTGAGTGAACGAGTTCAGAAGGGAAGTAAGTCAGCACTGTTTAGAGATACCATTCTTACCATCCTAGGACTGATGCTTTCCAGCTTGCTTAGGACTCCGCTGGGGTGCATAGAGACCATGCATGGTAGTCAATGTTCATGTCTTCGTGAGTTTGTCTTAAAGCATTTACATTATTAAAAGTGTGAAATGATACCTAAAAGACTGACTATGGAAAATTATAAATGTGGAATAAGTATGGAGTACATTTATAAATTCGTCAATGAGGATGATCAGCGAACAGGATATGAATATGGCGGAGGACCCCGAAGGCAGGAAGAATACTCATTGCTCTTGTCCTTAGGCTTTTATGAATCACAGCTTTAAAAATTAAGACCACTGGATTAATTACTTGTTTAATAAACTTATGTAGATGAGCAATAAGAGGCCCCCAGCCTGCACCCATGATGATAAGTGCTAGTGTAATGAGTTACGATGATGGATGCTGAGTGTCTGAAACTCTGAGGTCCAGTTACACAAAGGATATAGTTTATCATTGCTGTGAGTGACTCTCTAGATAGGTATTAGGAAAATGAGAGAGGTCACATTCTTGGAAGTAACACAAGCAAATACCTAGCATTCGATTATAAGTATAGTGGAGAATGCAAAGCATCCCTCCTGCTTCTACCCGAGGCTCAGCAGCATAAACTATATGCATATTAAACATCCCGAGGTTTATTAGGAAATGTAAATTATTAAAGTGTCTTCTTTAGGAATAGTAGAGACAGCAAATAATGAAACTTGAATTGTCTTGGTTTTCTTTAGAGAAAAATGGCAAATGCTTTCCCACCTACTATGACACAGCTGAGCAGGCGAGTGTCAGAAAGATGGATCAATGGAATGTCTTACTGTCCTTTCCGTGTCCGTTATTTGCATATCTTAGAATGAGTGCACATGAGCGGACTGAAGCGTTCCTCCCTGCTCTGGAATTCCAGGTAGGTAGGAGCATTGGTCCACTGTAACAGTCATCATCCTAGTCTTGGTTTGGGTGGTCTGGGACTCAGGGTATTCATAGTAACCTTTAACAAAGCATTAAATATATTCAAAGATGGTTACTAATATCCTAGGGACAAATATGGCATCGATATGAAGCATTATATTGATTAACTAAAGTATGCATTATGATAATTAATCAAAGAAGAATATTTAGTGGAACAAATGATCTCTGTGTAGATGATAAGAATACTTAAGGAGCTCACCCTGGAGCTTTTATTCAAGGTGCTGATTTTATTAGTGAATTAATGCATTAAACAGTCAACATACTTAATTGAGAATGAAGAGTCCAAGCCCTGAACCATTGCTGACAACAGACATAGACGTCAGAATGGATGAATAATTTACATCTGGGTCTCAAAGGCCCAATGTACAAGGACTCTCATCCATCTTGTTTGCGTGATTCTGTAGACGGCTTTCAGGAAAATACAAGGACTTTGTTCTCGTCTTTGTATGCATGAATAAAATAAGATGCTTAAAAATACTTTTATTGATTCTATGAAAATTCCATACATGTGTACAAATATCCTCATCATATACCGCCCCATTCCTCCTTCCAACCCCACTTAGGTCCCCCAAACACGTCTCCACTTCATGCACTTTCCTATTTTTTCTAAAAAGTTTTAAATATAACTCACTGAGTCTAATTACTCCTGCCTGTATGTGTATGGGTATGGGGGCATCTACCTGAGCCGTCCTGCCAGTGGTCACAGACCCGAAGATTTCTATTAAAGTAGCAGTGCTTGAGAAAAATAGAGTATTAATGAGGGGGTGAGAGAAGATGGGGGAGGGAACGAGAGGCATGCTCTACAATGTTACAGGCACAGGAAGAAAATTAATACTGATGCCAGTGGGAATGGTTGGTCAAGTCAGTACACTGTGCCTTCAGTGGGGGATGATAGAGACAAATGCAAGTTTATTTGTGATGTGAATGGGAAAGTGAGTAAGCATTCCAACACACTAATAGACACCTAAATGACTGTGCAGTGACTAGACTTCCATCAGTGTAAAGAAGGCCCATTTTTCTTTATCTTCTTTTCCTCTCTGAACTCTTCACAATCACTTAACCATCTGCTGTGTTCCTGATCTCGCTGCCTGTGGGTTTGACCACTCTAAGTAAATAAGGTCTGGTCTTGATTTTGATGACTTGCTCCAAAATATTGTGGTATTGCTCAAATTAATTAGTATTCTGAATTAACTATTGCCTGATAACAAATTGAATTTGAGATATTTTGCTGATTGTTTGATAACGAGTAGCACTGAGTTCATTGGTCAAAGACACAGTATGTGAAGGATTCACATGGCTTATTCTTGGGTTTTATGAATCCTGTGTTTGTTTTATCATCATCAATGAATAAAAAATTAATCCCATGAAAACACAGAAATGAACGATGAAAGGGAATCTCAAACATGAATCAGTGATGACCATTCTTGGTAGCCGATGAGTTGTGGCCAAGAATACATATTTGGAACTCTGAGGTCCATTTAAAAGACAACCTAAGTTGTTGCCTGCATTCCAGAGGGAGAGAATATCTTAATGTTTTTTCTGTCTCTGTTCATACTTCTCAGGATGGACCCTCTTCTGCTTAAGCATCTGCAAGCCCCAGTCTCCTCTCTGTGTAGAAGCATGGGACCAATGTAAGTAACAGAGCCAGTGATCTGGTGTTTGAATGGGTCTGCTTCAGATGGCCACTGGCTACTGTTTAGTTAATATCAAATATAATCCAAGATGACCCAGTGAAAAATATAGATTGCTATGAAATATTGTATTAAGGAATTGATTATGTAGCTAAATTGATTTTTTTTTAGCAATTTGAATGATTAATAAAAGAGATGGATTCAATGGCACAAGCAAATCTACACATAGGTATTGGGATTGGTGAGGAGCTTCTTTTTGGGAATTATGATTCACAGACAACTATTACTTTTGGAGAAGGGAAAAATCAGTGAACAAGTGTATAGATTTTTATGGAAGTAAAAGACATCCAAACTGGGCCCAATGATTAACATAGTGGTACAGGAGAGGTGATCCGTGATGTATTTCCATGTATGTCTACAACTCTAGAGTCTGCAGGAAAAAAAAGTGTCATCTGTGACACTTTTATAACAGTATTATAAAACTTCTGACTGAAGCTATGAACGGAATAAATTCCTAAGTAGGCTTTTTAATTGTTACATTTCCACACCTTTTTATAGCCCGTTACAAATACAAAAGCCCAAACCTTTTATATTACCTCTTTTGGAAAAGAGTCTATTGATAGTTAATAAGAACACTCAGTAAACACGTTTGGGGCCTTTGCTAGGCTGTTCCTGAGTGTTAATGTGTCATAACGGAATCAATAAACACAAGTGCTGTGAATGAGGCTAGATAAATCTGTTAAAGTACAGCCTCGTTATGAGCTTGTTTACTGGAACAAGGTTTGTTATTTCGTGTCTCAAACGTTGCTGTCCATGGATAAAAATAGAGCCAGCCTGTGACCCACGTCAGCAGCTAGCTTATACACAGACACATAAGGACTCAGTGTCCTGTTGCAGGTACTTGTCAATTTGTGTGTTTTGACCTTTAGCAAATTATAAAAGTTACGTAAATGTCCAAATTAAAAGGAAAAACAAAACAAAAAACAGGGAAAGAAGAGAAATCAAGGCAGACGTGCACTGGTGAGGAGGACGTGTTTAATATCAGAGAATTTCTTTTTTGTCTTTTTGAGACAGGGTCTCCCTTGTAGCCCCAGCTGTCCTGGAACTCACTATGTAGACCAGGCTGGCCTCAAACTCACAAAGATCTGCTTGCCTTTGCCTCCTGAGTGCTGGGATTGAAGGCGTGCGCCACCACGCCCAGCCCAATATCAGAGATTATTAATTGGTTAATCCATGGTACAATAGATTCCAATTTAAAAAGAACTCAAGGTTGTCTGTTAATTTTCAAAGCTGTATATTATCCATTTTAGATTTCTTACATTGTACCATGTTTCCTTGTTGGGTGAGATCTACAGTTACAGATAAGGTTCAGCTATTTTGCCTTTTTAATAGATACATAATAAGCATGTTATGTTGCATAGAGTGATACTTCAATGCATGTCTACAGTTTGTAGTAATCAAACCAGAGCAACTGTATCTCTTTACATGTTTTTCACCATCAATCTCTTCCAGTACTTTATAAAATATATAACAACGGGCTAGAGAGATGGCTCAGCAGGTAGGAGTAGTTGCTACTCTCCCAGCACCCATGTGGTGGCTCACAGCTACCTTTAGCTCTACCTCCAGGGGATCCAAAGCTCTCTTCTGGCCTCCATAGGCAACAGGCACACATGTGGTGGATACATATACATGCAGGCAAAACACTGATACACATGCATACATACACAATGAGATGTAAAGTATAGTTACTATACGGTGCTACAGAACACTCCAACTTATCTCTCTTATTTATTTTCCTTTACATAGAGTCTCACATTTACCTCAGGCTGTCCTCTTGTGTGCTGAGTTTGAAGGTGGCATCACCATGCCTGCCCCCGCCAGATTCCGATATCAATATCTGTTATCCAACATGCCTTTACCTATGTCCCACTTCTTAGCATCTGAGGAAAGCGATTCTACTTTCATTCCAAGATATCAGTGTTTTAGAGTCTACATGTTAGTGGGAGCCTGTGGCAATTCTATGAGCTCCCTTTCATTTTTATGCCTTGAGTGTGTGTGTGTGTGTGTGTGTGTGTGTGTGTGTGTGTGTGTGCATGTGAATCAGTTAACTTAGGGTTAGTTACAGGAGCACGGAGAGGATTTATTCATAGGAGCAATAGCATCCATCCTAGGGCTACATCATTGAAGAAAATGTCTCTCCTTTCTCCTAACTATTATGTTTTCTTTATGGTGTATAGGGTTGAGCCCTGTGCTTGCTAGGCAAGTATTCTAACAGACGAGTAAATCCCCAGTCCCTCTACTACACTCATTTTTATAGGTTTTAAACATTCTAGATGTCCTCTACATATTCCTTAAGAGATAAAGGTGCACAGCACTTTTATCATGAAGAAGCAGCATATGGAGATGTAACAGTTGATGCCCGAGAACTCATGGTGATTCTTATAAATAGACAGAATATAAAAATTACACAAGGAAGGACCAGGATGGACCCTGATATGGAAGGAGGGATGACTCTGTGTGTATCATTAAAGTGACCCTGACCTTCTGAGGTTTGTTGCATGCAGGGATTTGCATGTTTGCCATTGTGGGGATGAGCATACAGATTTGGGTATTATTAAAGGATCATCTCCTCAGCCTTTGCTGCTTCATAGATTTTGACTTTGTCATTAAAAGTCAATAAATGAAGCAATCAATAAACAGGACTGTATAAAGATGAACGGAATGAGGCATATCCAACATGAGGATGTGTGGTGAACAAAGTGATTATCATTTGAACTTGAGCCCCTTGGAACTCACTAAGAATGAAGGGGATCAAGCAGGGCATCTTTTAGGGTGATGAGTGGGCCAGGTACTGGTGTGGAATAGTCAGGGCTCTGGCTGTGGGTTTATGGTGAGTTCAAGTACTTATCTGCTTAAGAGAATGAAAAACTGCCACAAAATAATAAATACCAAAATGGCTAAGTAATGAAATAGTTGAAAGAAAATCTCAGAATAGGAAGAAAATCTCAATAGTCCATTCGTGTCGCCACATGCGTTCCTCAGCTAACTTAAACATGAAACATGAGTGCTAAGAACACAGACAAAAATGAAAAATCAAGTACCCCTCTCAGTACAGCTTGCTTACTTATGAAGAATAGTCACAGTATTGCTTACAAAATACATCCATATAATTAAAGAATCAGCCGTAAGCCACTATGTGATTGATACAATGTATGCTGTTTAGCAGATAGTTATAATGGCAAGACTGATTCCTGAAGAATATGGTTGTTGAGTGAAATTACCCTATAGATGGTTCTTATAGCTGCTTCAATAAATGGTTGGGGTTTTTGCTCTTTCAGGTATTTATTATTGTTAGCAAACTGAAAATTCAATAGATAAATAACATAAAGGGAAGAGGGGAAGAGTTAGGATCCTGACCCCAGACAGTGGCTGCTTATATATCGTGAATCATAAATAATTCATGTCTGAAACTCCAGTTTAGTGTAGAGGCAGAGGCCTGCTGTATTAGCTTTTCTGGGAGTAATCCAGCAGAAACTGGCTGTACACAAAGGTCACTTTCTTTGGATTTTTTGTAGTTCATGAATTTGGATTGTTATTCCAAAGCATCCATGGCAAAATTAAGACTTATTGTGAACAGAACATGTGCCTATTTTAAAAAATATGAGGGGAGGCAAGAAATAGTATTAATTTGCAAATACTATAAATCCATGAGTAAGTGGTACTTGGGATCTGTCTTCACTCAAGGTCACACACAGGGAGAAATCAGTCAGCAACGTTGTCCTGGGCCTGTGATAGGACCATGTTCTTTTTTTTTTTTTTTTTCAGATATTCTCGGGTTTTACATATAACTTGACTTTTTTTTCCCCCTTTTCCTGGGTTAGTTTTTAAGTTTGAGTTTGTTCTTTTTAAAGAAAATGCATCGGTTGTGAGAAATGAATAAATAGTGAAATGGAGGACCACGTGGACATGAAATCCTTCTGCTCTGTGCTCTGCTTTGTAATACTAGCATGTCGGCACTGATGCTGGTTAAGTGATTTCCCACAGTCACATGGTCATGGCTCTGGGGTTGCTCCCATGATTGGCCTGTGTGACTATCAGTGTGAGCACAGCTGAAGTTCTTGGCTTGGTTGGTGTAGTCTTACAGCGTTCAGTATATTATTACACACTGCGAAATCAAACCAAAAAAATCAATTGCAGTTAAGTGAAAATATGAGCTTGATAGATTAATAGACATGAGAAAACAAGATGGTTAATGTGATACAAACACTGACGTGAGAAGGTTCTAGATGCAGAACGGGAATAGTGAAGCTGTTTTTAGGTTCTTTAAATATATAGTTTGAGGTTATTAGTAGAAAATTAGCAATTTAATGAACAGACAATATAGAAACGGCTGGAAAACAGAAAGGATTAGATGTGGATCGGTGAGGACCACAGGTGGCTTATGAGTCGTACCTGATGAATCCGTGTCTGAAACTCCGAGGTCCACGTGGAAGGAAGCTAATCCATTTCTTCTGTTTTAAATGCTCTTCCACATAGACTTCTAGAATATAGATTTTTTTTTGGTGGTTACATATTTTTATTATTGTATTAATCTAAAAATCAGTAAACAACTGGATTAATAAATAGATATTGGTGAAACACCATCTGGTTCAAAATGTTCACAGAAAGGCAAGAGCTACATTAATATATACTTCAAACAATTTAGTCCAAAGGGAACTAGATGGAGCCTGCTTTGGCTAATGATGGTCAAGAAACTAGATAGACAGTGTTCTAAGTCAGTGACAAGTTTAAAATAGTTCGTTTTAGTAGAAGAAAATGAGAGTAACGTCGTCAGTGATAGTCAATGAGAGCTGAGAAGCCAGGATGGTTAGAAAGGTCTCTGTTCTCTGCTCTACTCAGGATGAATGCTGTGTGTGAGGAGAGGGTCCTTCAAGGTCAAGGGCTCTGTCTGCACCCTGCTCAGCAGAAAGGTGAAACCAACAGGAGTTACAGAAGCTTTCTTCTTAGTTTGGGTGATTTCACATAGCAATGTTAAAGTGTATAATATAGTTAATTATGGCCAGTTGAATACCAGTGTCAGATATGGGGACTGCATAAAATATTTCATTCCTAATGCAAATAATGAAAACTTGTTTGACTCAGTGCCATAGATAGATTAATGTTAGAGAGAGTCCATGTGCAGATTAAGAATAAGAAGACTCTTTTGGGGGAGGGGCTGTGACTCAGCTATATAATTAATCAATATACAAAATAAACACAATTGGAGAAAACGGAAATCAGTCCTGCATCAGTGATGACCACTTGTAGCATATGAATTGAAGTTCATAAACTCTGGGCTTATCCCCATGCCCAGTCCATCTCATCTTCTATGTTTAACATGACCCTGTGTGTAAGATGGAATGTATTTGATTTTGTCTATGTATTCATTAAGTTCACTCTATTATTATAATCGGGTCAATGTAATAATATATATATGAATTTATAAAGAGTTATCCAGTTATTAAGTGAATGGTAAGTCCAGGCATCATATTTTAATGCTGTATATTGAAAACATTGATATCTGAATGGAAATAGTTTCATCTAAGAATTAAGTAGACAGTATAATTAATAGATAATAGTCAACATCTGGGTTAAGGAAAATAGAAATAAATAAGTTGCACATAATGCATTCCTGGATTAGGATGAGCCACGGAAGGTTGATAAATATAACTGAAATAGACTGTCCACATTTTTAATGACCTGCTTTGCTTTCTCGTCCTCAGCCTGGATGCTTTGAGCTGAGTGAGGCATCTTTCCATGGTCTTGGCCTCCATGGATACATGTGTGTATCAAAAGCATGAAATGAAGGTATGTGATAATAATCAATGTTGCTATTTTGGCTTTTCAAAAAAAAGCCTTTGTTGCATTATCAAAAAGTATGCCAGAGGCATCATTTGCCATCATTCAATATCAGAATGTAATTATGTATTGCATTGACTAGTCCATGCAAGGACCAGTGAGCTAGGTTTATAGAAGATGGACTGCATTGTGTATGTAAAGTCTACCATAGACTCTGGAAGCAAGTATATAAATATATTTTAGTTAGTACTCAAGGATCTACTTTTTATTATATCTCTGTGTATATTTAAATCAATAAATTAATCAACAAACTAATTGGCAGTAGAGAAAGATGGCTAGTCTGGGTCAATGATGATGACTTTTACATGATAGGCGTGTTTGATAAATACCATGTACCTGCCAGGAACTTTGAGTTCTAGCGCAAATGAAATCTAGACCAGTACCTTTCTGTGAAGAGGCTCCAATGGGTAAATGCTAGGGTAAAGGAGGATCTTGTTTTTCATCTTTCTGTTATGAGTTTAAAACATTACCTAAAAGCATCGAGGGTCACATAAATACATGAGTGAAAAAAGACAACATAACTAAACTTACAACATGAGTGTTAATATAAAAGTAGCATGTAATAATTGGGCAAATGTATTCCCTGTTGTACTAAGGATGATGTAGATGGAGTCATTGCTCATGGAGGAAAAGAAATATGTTATAAATAAATAAATAAATGTCCAAATGTCTATGCTTATCAGTGGTGGAGAGTATGGGTCAACGGTCAAGATGTCTCACTGCCTTCACCCCCTGTCTGCCTTGTATCTTTGGAGTGGCCGCACAAAATACGCAAAAGACATGTGCTGTGACTAGACTTGTCATGATGCACCTATGTTAGGAAAAAAGTCACCATGATCAGCAGACAAAATTTCTCTTTCTCTGAACACTCAAGGAAAGGTATTCACAGAATTACTAAATACATTCGTCTCAATTAACCATTGCTCACTGAGCAGCCTTGACTTTGCATGGCTTGTTTGATGTAATATAATTTTGCAATATGTGAAATATAATCACATGACAAAAACTGTAACCAGTAGAACTGGGGATTAAGAAGACTATACTAAGCAATGCGTTCATGCAAAGCCAAGGACAAGTAATAGACTATAGATATACATTTCTATGACGTTACTATAGAAATATATCACACAGTTGTTGGATAGTCATGTGTTAGAAGCATCTGAGAGCATTACCAGTGAATTATTAGGTTAGTCAGTAAACACTGTGGATTAGAATCAGGAGAGAAGGAGCCCATCTGGACCCAGATGACAGTTCTAAGGTATGAATCCTGGATGATGATGGATGATGTGTCCGAAACTCTGAGGTCTAACACAGAAGATAAGTGGATAAGAAAGAATCCATGGAGGAGATGGTCATTTTTGATTCCCTGTTCTGCTCTGTATTCCTCAGAATGGGTGTTCCAGAGGGCATGTCAGCATCTCCTGTGGTCACGAGCCCATCACTTGCATCTGTGGGCTAGAGCGTGAGATGAGTGTGAGTACTAGTCATTGTCCTTGTGGCTTATATGATTTGTTGAAAGTTAGTCTTCATTATTAAAAACTGTGAAACGTAATCTCCTTCAGCCAGGTGTAACCAATGACACATATGGAGCTAATGTGAGTTAGCATATTAAGTTATGCATGTGTGAAAACCAGAATCTGACCTTTGAAGGAAACACAGATATGAGCTGATTCTTCATACAGATGAGGACCATCAAGGCTGTTCCTGAGGTTTTGCTACAAATATGGTTTTCAATAATTAGTGACTCAATGATTAAATCAATAGTGCAGATATGAAAGGGGATACACAGGTCGATTGTGAATCAAAGGAGACTGTGGTTGTACATGAATCAGAGATGGTGACCTTGAGTCATAGCTGAAATTTTTATCTTCATTTGGCTATTGATTAAATGTATTCACTGTATTATTTAATTTTTAGTATTTATTTTATTTTTTATTTCATTCATTGCATTCATTTTCTGGGTGAGTGTTTTGCTGGCACATATGTAGGTGCAACTGAGTGTGCAATGATCACAGAGGCCAGAAGAGGGTGTCAGATCCCCTGGAACTGGAGGTACAGATAGTTGTTAGTTGTCATTTGAGTGTTGGGAATCAAACCCGGGCCCTCTGCAAGAACAGCCAGTGCTTAAACTGCCGAGCCATCTCTCCAGGCCCTGTTTTACCTTTTTAAATACAATAATTAAGAGAAAAAGCCTTTGGTCATTTTAACAGTGGATTGGAAAATAAAAAAGAAAGTGACAGAACTTAGACTGATAAATACTATCTTTTATTTATATGTTCTAGATATTTTGTGAATTTCATACACATATACAATGAAATATCATCTCCAGCCCCCATTCACCTCCTCCAACATCTGCTTTATCTCCTCCCCAAGTCCCCCTTCCTAACTCCACGTCCTTCTGTGATAACCCATTAAGTCCAGTTAGTGCTGCCATGTATGCATGGGTGCATAGATGCATGAAGATACACATAATCATGTGGCATCCATGGTGCTTTGATGTCTGCATACGCACTGCAGTTTTCATTCAGGTTAAATCTATGTTTCTCTTCAATAACCAGTAACTTCTTCATTATTCAAACATTATCTTTTTTTGCTCATTTTTTTCTTATACATTCTCCTTTAAGTTTTTATCTGTCTATTCTCTAACAGCTTTAAACATGGATTTAGTGAGTCTGTTTACTGCTACCCCATTTACCTTCTCCCATCCTCTCTTCCACCGAACCCTTCTAACTTCATAACATGCATTGTACATGGCTGCTACCTAAAGGCATCTTCCTCTGCCTACCGTACACACCAGAGCTGCTCAAAAGCATTTAATAGTGACTTAGCGCCCATCGATCAACCCTGTTGATTACCTTCTCCTGCCTCTGCTAACCACCATCTAACCCTCAACTTTCCTGAGATCAATTTTGAGAGTTCATGTGGTACTTGTCTTTCTATGCCTGGATTATTCCTCGTAACACACTTATGCGTAGATCCATCTACGTTGTGAAGATATAAAAAATGATTTAGTTTGTGCCTAAGTTGAATTAACGATGGTAAACTGATTGCGATTAGATAGATGGTGTCACACCCATATGCATTTGAGTGGTAGCAATTTTTGGACTCAGATTTCACAGGTGATAAAAGAGGTCATGAAGTTGGCAGGAACACACGGAGGCCATCTGGGAGGAAATGAAGGTGGAATTGGTGGTGGGTATGATAAAATATATACATGTATGAAATTCTCAAATAATAAGTCAAATTTAAGGACTCCAGTAATACAGGAGGCTGAACACTCTCATTAGGAAGAAGGCGGTCTGGTTGGAAATGGGCAGTAGGCCCCATTATACATTTCTGAAAAGATCATGGTGTTAGATTTGTCAAGAATTACATTCTGAGCTTTCTAGGAATCATACTGTTATTTTCATTGCTCTACTTAATAACTTAGAAGAAAATAACAAGAAGTTATAGTTAAAAGGACACAACTGAACCGACAATGGTGGTTTCTGTCCATAAGGCCTTGCAGGGTGAATAAGATGCATCTGGATTCTGAAGTCTCATGCAGAAGAAATAGAGCCCATCATTTTATAAGAAGTTGTCTTCTTGACGCACTCAGTGATATCCACAGATCTTGGTCCTGGCCTTTGCTGTAATTAGATGAGCGAAAATATCAAGTGCTTAACGAAGTATGATGATGAATGTTTAATTCATGTCAAGGAACACTGTTAACATATTATGAAAACAGTGAGATCCACTTTGAAATGAATGACTTGCTTCCTCTTCCCCCTCTGGTGAAGGATGGTTCAGACAGCAGAATCAGCCCATGTTTTCAGTACACGGAGATTTTGTTTGCTTCAGAAAAGAGACATTAGACTTTTAAGTTGCTGAATGTATATGTCACTCTCTAAATCAAAGATGAAGTCAAGGGCCAATGAGGAGAATGCTCAGTTTCTCTTTTTGGTCTTTCTTACTTTGGTCATCTATTCTGCCCTGATTCTTCCAGTGGGCCCATGGGAGCTAATGTTGGAATTCTCTGTGTTGAGGCTTTCTATGTTCTATCTCCCTCAGGAGCCTGCAGGTCAGTGTAAGAGTCCCAACACTTATTTTGGTTTAGGTGGTTTATTTAGGGGAGAGCTCATTGTATTCTTTGTAATGTGTACAGTATAATCACATAAGCACCACTGATAGCATTATAAATTTTAGATTAAGAAAGGGAGCTAATGTTGGAATTCTCTGTGTTGAGGCTTTCTATGTTCTATCTCCCTCAGGAGCCTGCAGGTCAGTGTAAGAGTCCCAACACTTATTTTGGTTTAGGTGGTTTATTTAGGGGAGAGCTCATTGTATTCTTTGTAATGTGTACAGTATAATCACATAAGCACCACTGATAGCATTATAAATTTTAGATTAAGAAAATATTTACACACGTACATATGAAAGAGTGACAGAGAGAGAGA